TTAGACGAGGCTAGGTTGCCAAAGTTGTTGCTACTATATCCAGCCAATGGGCCAAAGTTAAAGCTAATTAAAAAAGAAAGAAAAAATGAAATCAAATTTGTTAATTGGCACAAAACCATGTTAAATCAAACAAATCAAACTCTTATTCTAATTTCATATATTTAATTACTTTGATACTATTTCTGTATACTAGGCACAAAGAAAACTATGGTGAAAGAAGAATAAAAAAGTCAAATTCATTTTCTAATGTTTCTATACATTCTTATTTTTTCATATTGTGTACATCCAACGACCATTAAAAGTAGGAAACAAAATCAAATTCATATATTTAATTATTTTTTAGGTTTGACCCATATTTTTATTATGGTGTTTCTATATATCCATATTTTATTTTCTTTCTTTGTCACGTGGTTATCCAAATGAATCCTTTGTTTTTTTGTATATATATGTGAATGTTATTCATGAAATACAAGTATGGATTCAAAAGAAATACTCGTGCACAATTTCCTAGAAAGAGCATTAATATGGATTTAAATATGCGAGCACTGTCCATTTTCTTTTGCGTTTTCTTCATCACTGCAGCTATAGTAAGTGAGGTTGGGAGTGCCAGTAGAGAAGTTCCCGATACCAGCTCCTCTCCATCACCTGCCCCTGGAATCCTTTCATCAATAAAATCAGTTCATCACAAATTCATCATTGCATGCTGCGACCACGGTTTTGAGCCATGTTGTCTTATTTGCACACATCCATGCGACCGAACTAGTACATGATGATATGCAACAATTGTATCTCGGTTTTTCTGAGGAATGAGTAAATCAAAGTGTGATATTAGCTGAATGCTTAATTCATTACTTACTTTTCTCTAAGTTTTTGGGCTTCTTTCCTTTAATAAAGAATATGGTGTTACTTAATGAATTTTTTGGTTTGGTTTGTCATGTTTCTGATGTAGTATAAGTTTTCTGGTTTGCTTTATTAGAGTTTTGGAAAGTTTTATGTGTTTTCTGGTATGCTTTGGAAAACTTGCTATTAACTTTGAATATTTTAGTATGCTTTATGATTTTTATAGTGTGGTGAGGCTTTTGTCTGCTTTATGAGCTTACTAGTCTAGTTTATGTTTTTTTGGTGTGGTTTGTCAGATTTGACATTTGCTTTATTATACTTATGGTCGTTGCCAACTAAGGACGAGCGACGGAATAATTGAGCAACACAATGACTGCGATCCCACTATGAATTTTTAAAATGACAAGCGTGCCCCTTCCTTTAAAAATCAGTGACAATTATGTTCGCCCCTTAAAATAGTTATCAAAACAAAATGTTACAATCTTTTTCTTTTCTACACTAAATTTCCACCCAATTATCAAAACCCATCTTTTCTAACAAAAGCTCTCTCAATTCTCACATCTCTTTCGTCATATCATTCTCCCAAAAACGCCGATGCAAACCTATTTTCCAACGCGCATTCTCCGCTCAAAATGCCATCCGATTTTGTCAAACCATGGTGGTTGAGATGGTGCAATCAAATCTTGGCTTCTTTTGAGGTTGAGCACCGACCTTTTATCCCGAAAGAAGACAAAAATTGCTCGCCTCGTCTATCACACACCTATAATGCGATCAAGAATTATTCGAAATGCTCTTAGATGGCTGAGGATCTCAAATCCTCTTACATACACCACTCAAGAGATACACGAGCCTTGGTGCTGAGCCAATTTCTTGGGTTTCTACTTGTATATAAGCAGCCCTCCGGATCTGAATTGAGCGACTTTAGCTTACTCACTAACAATGCTTTTTCCTCACTTAGCTTGGCCAATTTTGCTACCTTAAAACTTTCTCAAATGACAGTGCTAAAGGTTATTCCCATTATGTGTTTCTTTTTTCAATCCTTAGTCTATATGAAAACCACTGCATACATAGCACAATTATAGGGTTATTACTTTATTTCCATACTGGTTTAAAATACTATAGCAAAAATGATGCCATCCATATTTAGTGGCTTTCTTCTCTTGCTCTTGTGGGTTAAATTCATCTTGCTCATATGGAATACTATTATCGGACATTAGCGCTCCATCATCTATCCTAATGTCATGATTCAGATTTCTAACAAGGAATATGCATCGGCAAAACTATTTTTTTTATAATATTCGCCATAAAAAATATATTTATGACAACGTCAGGGCATCGCAAAAGAATTTACAACTCGTCGGTAAAAGGTTTTGTCGTAATTATTCTTCGTGAAAGTTCTCGTTTCTGACGTAGATCTTTTGTATATCAATGATAACAGCACGTCTGTATTAAGAATAATGATAACGATCCGTCAATAATAGTTTATTACATACAAGAATTTTTATGACAATTGCCGCCGATCATATGTCGCCTTCAAAACCCACTTTTGACGCAGTTTTATTTTTAATAAAGAAAAACGTATCGTCAATAATGACCGTCTTTTTTGTATTGTTACATGCCTAGGGTCATCCCTATGTTGACCATTGCAGAATATTTGTTTGCTTACTCCACCGCCATCGTCGGATTTTAACCCACACCGGCCACCTCGTATCGTTCTTCATTTTACTCACCCCGCCTAATATCATTAGTTCGAATCCTCGGGGTTGCATGAGAGGTACATGTAATTACTTGCATTTCATACCATTGTGCTTCATATTTCTATTCGACGTGCACTCATGATGGGTTGGCTCTTCTACTTCCCTCGTCATATTTTTAGAACTTTCTCTTCTCGGTATACGTCGTAATGGAGTTGGGCCGGGAGAACATAGCAGAGGATGATTTCGTTTTGGAATGGATGTTTTGTAGTGTGTCCATGGAATGAGGTTAGGGCCATGATACATTTCAACCATATGTGGTTCTCTTGATCGAAATTGGTGTCAACTTCCACAACCCTCTGTCACTTTAGATATGGAAAGAGCTAAAGTGTGGGGTGATTAATTGGGCATCACCCATTGCGACCCTCTTCAAGAACGCCTCACGATGATACATGATAAACGATTAGTAAGACCTTCGTAGCCACTCTTCTTCTTGGGAGAGTAAGGGCATCGCCATTTGGCATGTCGCCTAGCATTATTGGGTGTCTACTTCTCTCGAGTTAGACGACCCATGAGAGCATCTTCGGCGCGAACCTCTTAGGTTTTGCCATAGAGGAGGAGATGGCGCACTTTGCTCTCTCCGTTTTACACTTTTTTCATTGTTCCTACAAACCAAACATCAAAGAATCAGTCGACTGACTTTGATTTCTCGAAATTGCTGTAACTTTGTTCAATCTTTTTTTTTTTTGTATAATATATTTTTTTCCCTTAGCTCCTTTGTTGCATCTCTTTCCTTACCTTAGTCTGCAGTCCAATGAGGAAACTGGCCCATTTAAAGTATGAGGTGAGATTTAGGTAGATTGTTCTTTATCTAATACACCCTATTCTGATGGTTCATACGTATGGAAAATGGTACTTCTCACCCAAACACATAAAATTGCATGAACCTCGCTTTGGAGGAAATGTTTTGTGGGTCATTACCTTATCACGCCCGATAGCCTTCATCACTTCATTAAACCCACTTTTGCATGTTAGATTTAAGCTAATATCAAATAAACCCCTTGAAATTCATCTTTCGCTAGACTCGTCTTACCCATTGATATTTCTTAAAATGTGCTATTGGGTTTCCTCTCCGAACATGAATTGCTGCACAACCTACGAGCAGATACATGGTGGTAACGTGGTCATGACAAATGGAATTGTCTGCAAGGTTGTTGGAATCAGATCCATAAAGGTTCGTTCTGCACCGTGAATGATGTCAGACATCATCCACAAATGACAAAGAACCTAATCTCCTTGAGTCTACTCGACATCAAGGGTTTTAGTTTCAAAGGAAAAGGTGGAGTTGTGTATGTCTGCAAGGGTTTGAGGAAGGTACTAAAAGGCGTGCAACGTGGTACCTTGTATGCATTACAAGGAAATGTGTTGTCAGGTTCTGCAGCAGTTGCATCATCTCAGGTTCATCATGAAGATATGACCACTCTCTGGCACATGAGACTGGGTCATATGAGTGAATGTGAGATGCAAGTTCTCTCGAAGAGGGATCTTCTTTGCTGGCACAGGTGCATAATTTGGAATTCTATGAGCATTGTGTTAGGAAGCTGCATCGCAGCTAGGGCTTCAAATGAGCCGAGTTGCTCGCGAGCGGATCGGCGTTCGACTCGAGAAAAGCTCGTTCGAAACTCGGCTCGTTAATAAACGAGCCGAACATGAGCTAAGCTTTCTTCAGCTCGTGAAGCTCGCGAGCTAGCTCGACTCGGTGGCTTGTTGAGCTAAACTCGTGAGCTGGCTCGTTTAGAGCTCATGATAGGTCTCAACATGTGGCTAGAGAGCCAACTCGATTACCGACTTATGGACGAATCAATCTATATCTTATGTTTTTAATTCATATGGTTGTTAAATTATATATCCCACCATATATAAAGTTTAAAACATTGATTATGTGAGCAAATATATCTTATTTTCTACTTTAAAAAAATTATGTATCATAGATTACTTCGTTACTAAGAAAAAACATGATTTGGAGTAGTTGAAATTTATTAACTAAATGATATATGATACCAGCAAAATATAATATGATATTAGCTAACATAATAAATCATATGTATCATAATTGCTTCGTTAATATGAAATAAAATGATTTGGAGCAGTGCTCGTGCCATGCTCGTACTCGTGTTTAATAAAAAGGACGAAAACGGAAGAGAGAATGAACAAGAAGGTAAAAATTGGACGGAGGAAGATAGTATTAACCGATAATGTATGAGAAAAGTAACAAATAAGAGGGAAAAGAAAATTGGAAGTATAGCGAGTGTGATTTGGCTTTGTTTAATTCTTTGTCCATTTTTACTTATGTTAGTAATTACGTATATATCTTTATGACACTTCTAACAACAACAAATAATTATTTTTCTACTTGTGTTTTGTGGTATTTGAACCTATAAATATTGTTATATTTATTTTCTATCAAATAAATATTATTTTCGTGCCATGTCCGTTCTTATACTCAATAAAGTCTCGAAAATATTGGCCCGAAACGGCCCACTTATATACCATGTCGTGCCTTTGCTCGTGCCCATGAAGTTTAGGCACGGCACGGCCCATAAATTATTCGTGCTCGAGCCGGACTGGCCCATTTATTTCGTGCTCGTGTCGTGCTCTAATCGTGTCGTGCCGTGCTAGACCGTGGACGACACGACCCGGTGCCCACTTACAATCATGATATACAAAATGAAGTACCGAATAAAAGTTAAGATTTTAGTAAACAATCTAGCTCGAGCTCGACTCGACTCGGACTCGTTTATTAACGACCCAAGCTCAAACTGAGGTAAAATTCAACTCGGCTCGGCTCATTTGTAGCCCTAATTGGAGGAAGTTTCTTAAGAAGGGTATCCACCGGACGAAGGGGATACGGGATTACCTCCATTGGATCCATTGGAGGTAGTAGGTATTTTCTCTCTATTATTTATGATTATTCGGTATTTGCTTGGATTTTCATGATGAAGCAGAAAAGTGAGGCTTTCACGAAGTTCAAGCAGTGGAAGACATTGGTGGAGAATCAGACCGGGAAGAAGATCAAGAAGTTGTGAACGGGCAATGGTCTGGAGTTCTGCAGTTCTTAGTTCAATGAATTCTGCAAGGATAAAGGGATTGTCTGTCATCGGACCGTTAAAGATACACCTAGCAGAATGGCGTTGCAGAAAGGATGAACCATACATTGTTTGAGAGAGCACGGTGCATGCTCTCTAATGCTGCACTAGAGAGAAGATTCTAGGCAGTGTAGTAAACATGGTGTGCTTCCTAATCAACCGTGGACCTCAAACATGTATCGAGTGTAATACTCCCTATGAAGTGTTCTATGGTAAGACTGCTGATTACTCTACACTGAAAATTTTTGGGTGTCCTGTTTATTATCATGTGGATGAGGGTAAACTCAACCCAAGGGCAAAGATAGGTGTATTTGTGGCTTACGAAGATGGAGTTACGGTATTTCCATTTTGGTCACCTTCTGAGCATCGAGTTAGTTATACTCTGTAGAAATGTGATATTTGGTGAGAAGTCTATGTTTAACCCCATGTTGAAGGCAACTGTTGTTGAAGGTAGCAAGAATGTTGATAAGCAGGTAGAGCTCCAAAGTCTCAAAGAGAGTGAGTTTGAGAACGAAAGTGGAGAAGATCAACATGAGGATGTTTCTGCAGAGCCAGTAACTTCAGAGTCCAGTGCACGAGCTCAACAGTCTATGGTTTTCGGTAGACCGAAGAGAGCGAATGCAGGAATACCTCCAGAGAGATATGGCTTGGAGGATATGGTGGCATATTAATTTCAGATTGCTAAAGAAGTGGATGCAGGTGAACACAGCCCTATAGAGAAGGCATTTCATGTGGCGAAGCTGATTAGTGGCTTGCCACAATGGGAGATGAGATGGAATACAATGATAGGAATCATACTTGGGAGCTAGTCAAACAACCACAGGGAAGGAAGGTTGTTACAAACAAGTGGATCTACAAGAAGAATGAAGGAATCTCTTCTGAAGAGGGCATTAAATTTAAAGCTTGAGTGGTTGCACGAGGCTTTTATCTGAGGTAAAGAGTTTACTACAATGAGATTTTCTCACTAGTGGTCAGACATACTTCGATCAAGGTGCTACTACCAATAGTGGCACATTATGACTTGGAGTTCGAGCAGCTAGACGTGAAGACAACTTTCCTACATGGAGAGTTGTAGAAAGAAATTTACATGACTCAACCAGAAGGATTCCATGTTCCACGAAAAGAAGACTATGTTTATAAGTTAAAGAAGTCCTTGTATGGACTTAAGCAATCTCCAAGGAAGTGGTACAAGATATTGGATAGTTACACGGTTGAGCTGGGCTACTACAGAAGTCCATATGGTTGTTGTGTGTATCTCATCAAGGTGGAGGATGGTTCGATGATCTATCTTGTTCTGTATGTGGATGATATGATCATAGCTGCAAGGTCGAAGTCTAATATCCAGAAGTTAAAGGGGCTTCTAAGTGCTAAGTTTGAGATGAAGGATTTAGGAGCTGCTCAAAAGATCTTGGGTATGGAGATTTATAGGGATAGTTTGAAGAAGAAGCTTTTCTTATCACAGAAGAGCTACATCCAGAAGATACTGTCGAGGTTTGGTATATCTTCAGCAAAGCCCTTGAATACTCCTAGTGCTTCAAATGTTCATCAATCCTCAGCTTATGCACCATAGTCAGAGGCTGAGAAGGAATACATATCGAGAGTCCCATATACTAGTGTAGTAGGTAGCTTGATGTACGCTATGGTATGCACTAGCCCTGATCTTGCACATGTTGTTAGTGTTGACAGCAGGTTCATGATACAACCTGGGGACTGGAAGTCACAGGGGTCTCGCTGCCCGGTCAGCGAGTTGGGTCCAGGGGCAACACCCTGATCAAGTTTGGGCCTGGTCTGTAACTTTTTACTTTACCATATTGAATTAGGTTTAGACCCACATGGAGAAGTATAAATACTACTCGTCTCCTCTGTAATCTGTAATCTCCTCGATATAGTGAAACTGGACTCTCCTGCCCGTGGACTAGCTAACACACATTTGTGTTAGTGAGCCACGTAAATCGTGTGTCATGTGCTTCCATTTGTTCATTTTTTTGCTTTGTCGATTCGGAAATTTTACGATCTGTAGCAGCGCAGTTATAACACATGAGCAGCATTACCTTCCTCCAAGTATTAAGTATAGCTAGGGTTAGACCCTTCACAAAGCATGTAACAAATATTGTTAAATGCCTTCCACAGAATTTTGTTTTATCTTTATGTTGTCCTCACCATCAACTTGTATCGACTTTCGAGTGCGCTCAGGCGTACGTCAGGCGTATACTAGACGTCAGGTAATACTGGCGAGATATCTCTATCTAGACCATGAATTAAATCGATTTTGGGGTATGATACTATACCCTAACCTCTAATGCATAAACCCCAGACACCGATTTTATAAACCCCAACCCAAAGTTTGATTTAATGAAAAACAAAAATTGACCGTTGAGATCGGCCGGAGCTCATTTAAGTACATCTAACGGTTAGATCAAATGTTGTATACTATATGCCTTACGTACACCAGTCATTACCATATATATATATATATATATATATATATATATATATATGGTACCGCATATTTTGAGTAAGAAAACACTAATAAGAACTTGAATTGACTGATCTTTCGAACATGATACTATACTCTAACCCTTATAGATCAAAATCTAGGTCTTAATTCTCTAAATCTTATACCCCAAGATCAATTTAATTAGAAACAATAATCAACGGTTATGATTCGTCCAAATATAGGCAAAAAAATCAATGCACCATCTTAGGGTATATAGTTTATGATTTAGATAAATAGGACCTAGGGTTCGCTCATTAAGGGTTTGGGTATAGTATCATGCCCAAAAATCATGCTAATTCGAGGTCTAGATAGCATTTTCCTACTCAAGGTTGTCAAGTACGCGCATTCAGAAGAAAGAAGAAGAAGAAACTAACTATAAAAAGTGGTGCACAATTTCGTCGAGAGAGCATCCATATGGTTTCTAATATGCGAACACTGGCCATTTTCATTTGTGTTTTCTTGACCACTGCAACTATAGTTAGTGAGGTTGGCAGTGCTAGTAGAGAAGTTCCTGATACCGGCTCCTTTACGTCACCTGGACATGAATCCTTTCATCAATAAAATCAGTTCATCACAAATTCGTCATTGCATTCTGCGACCACAGTTTTGAGCCATGTTGTCTTATTTGCACACACCCATCCGATCGAATCGGAACATAAGAACTAGTAGTCTCCTATGCCAATGTGTTACTGCGTACAATTGCATCTCGAGAATGATGATATCCACCAATTGTATCTGTGTTTTTCTCAGGAATGAATAAATCAAAGTGTGATGTTTGATGAAAGCTTAACTCATTGCCAACATTTCTCTTAATTTTTTGGCTTTTTACCTTTCATGAATAAATCAAAATATGGTGTTACTTCATGAAGTTCGTGGTTTGGTTTGGTTTGGTAAGCTTTAAGTGTTTTTTGTTATGCTTTGGGAAACTTGCGACTAATTTTGAATTTTTTGGTATACTTTATGAGTTTTATGGTGTAGTGAGGTTTTGGTATGATTTACGAACTTTTAGTATACTTTTTGTTTTTTCTGGTGTGGTTTGCACGTTTAACATATGCTCTATAATACTTGTGGTCGTTGCGAACTAAGGAAGAGTGAGCATAGCCCTGACAGTGATCCCCCTATAATTTTTAAAAATAAAAAGTGTGTCCCTCCCTCTAAAAATCTGTATTAACTATGTTCAACCCCTTAAAATAAGTTTTTAAAACAAAATTTTGCAACATTTTCTTTCCTACTGTAAATTTCCCTCAATTATCAAAATTCATCTTTTCTAACAAAAGCCCTCTCAATTCTCACATCTCTTTCCTCATATCATTTCCCCAAACCGCCGATGCATACCTATTTTCCAACGCGCATTCTCCGCTCAAAATTCCATTCGATTTAGTCACACCATGGTTAGTGGCGGAGCCAACTAAGAGATGGGTGGGTCCCCGGACCCACCTTGTCTCCCCCAAAAATCCAAATGTATATGTGTTGAAGTTCTGAGGATCGAACCCTACTTTCTTTGTCTATTACACAAGGTTTCAACTGTTGAGCCACCCAGGCACCAGTTTTACTTAGACAATTTTCATTTTATTTATTTACTCTTGAGTTTCCAATCCCTAATTCAATTCATAGAAAAATGAGTTACAGAATGAAGGTGAGACTGGTGTACAACTCGAGTATACTATACTCCGCGTACTTCTATTGAGATATCTCTATCTAGATCATGACTTAAACCTAGTTTGAGGTATGACACTATACCCTAACCTGAAATGGATAAACCCCGGCCCCCGACCCTCTAAAACCAAACCCGAAAAGTCAATTTAATGAAAAACTATAAACAACGTTTGAGATTGGTTAGAGCTCATCTAAGTAGATCTGACGGCTAGATCACGTGGAGTATACTATACTGCTGGAGTATACCAGTCATTACTATATATATATACACATATATCGTCTGTCGAATTTGCCTCGCCAACCAAAGGCCAGCGAAAACTCCCACCCACCACTCATCCGTCCAAGTCTTTGCTGTCGAATTTGTCGTGCCAATCTAGGGTAGTGGTTGTGTTAAAAAACATTGAGTGTTTTCATTGGTATATTGACTTTTGAGTTGACAATCTTGCCACTACAAGTGTTGAAAGAGCAGTTTTTGCAATGAACTTCGTCAAAAACGCACTTTGAAATCAGATGAGTGATAAAATCATGAATGATATTTTGTTTAATTAAATTGAGAGAGACATCATTGATAGTTAGATTGATGATGTATTTTCATATTTTGAAAAATATGAAAACACGTCATATGTCATTGTAAAATATTAATGTAACTTACGGATGACTTTCTTTTTAGCGTTGGACACAACTTAGCTAAATTTCTGGCTACCTCACTGACCATCGTGGTTGCGATGGTGTAATCAACTATTTTCCCTCTTTGGAGGTTTAGCACCGACCTTTTATCCCGATAGAAAACTAAAATTGCTCACCTTGTCTATCACACACTGATAATGTCGTCAAGAACCATTCAAAATGCTCTTAGATGATTAAGGATATCAAATCCTATAACAGACACCACTCAAGAGATACACGAGTCTTGGCACTGAGCCAATTTCTTGGCTTTCTCCTTGAAACTGAGCAGCCCTTTGGATCCAAATTTAGCAACTTTAGCTTGCTCACTAACAACGCTTCTTCCTCCCTTAGCTTGGCCAATTTTGCTACCTTAAAAATCTGTCGAATGACGGTTCTTAAGTATATTACCCTTATATATTCCTTTTTTCAATCCTTAGTTTATATGAAATCAATTCATACATCACACCATTTTAGAGTTATTAATTAATTTCCATGTATAGTCTGAAATACTATATCAAAAATGATGTCATTCAGATTTAGAGGCTTTCTTCTCTCGCCCTTGTGGATTAAATTCATCTCATCAGAAATAGTTTTGTGGGAAATTAGCCTTCATCGTCTATCCTAACATCATGATTCGGATTCCTAACAAGATATATGCGTCGCTAAAACTATTATTCTTGACTATTCTTCAGGAAAAACATATTTCTGACGAAGTCAAGGCATAGCATTTTGAGTGCTTGCTCCATCGCTATCATCAGATTTTAATCCACAACGTCCACCTCGTATCGTTATTTATTTTTCTCGCTCCACTTAATATCATTAGTTCGAATCCTTCGGGTTGCATGAGCGGTACATGTAATTACTTGCATTTCAACCTTTGTGCTTCATATGTCCATTCGACATGCACTCTTGATGGGTTTGCTCTTATGCATCTATCGTCATATTTTTAAAGCTTTGCGCTATCGGTATACGTTGCAATGGAGTTGGGCTCGGAGAACGTAGCAATGGATGATTGCTTGGTTGAATGGATTTTTTGTAGTGTGTCCATGGATTGAGGTTGGGGTGCCCTCTACCTCTCACATGATGCTTTTTAAGCATATGTGGTTCTCTTTATCGAAATTGGTGTCAACTTCCACATCTATGTGCCTTATCTCTTTGGATATGGAAAGTGCTAAATTGTGGAGTGGTCAATTGGGCATCACCCAATGCCACTCTCTTCAAGAATGCCTTATGATGATACATGATAGGAGATTATTAAGCCTTTCGCAACCACTCTTGTTATTGGGAGAGTGAGGGCGTCTCCATTTCACCATCATAAATTTTGGTGCCGCTGCGGCCTTGCCTTTGGCACGTCGCCTAACATTATTGGGTATCTACTCCTCTTGAGTTAGACGACCCCATGAGAGCATCTTTGGGCGAAATTCTTGGGTTTTGCAATAGAGGAGGAGATGGCGCACTTTGCTTTCTCCATTTTATACTTTTCATTGTTCGTACAAACCAAACATTAAAGAACTAGTCGACTGACTTGGATTTCTCAGAATTACTGTAACTCAGTTCTATCTTTTTCCTTACTCCTTTTGCGGTCGAATAAGGACATTGTCACATTTAAAGTGTGGGTTGATATTTAGGTAGATTGTTCTTCATTTGATATACTATATTCTGATTGGTCATGCATATGGCAAGTGATGCTTCTCACCCAAAAACGTAAAATTCCACAAATCTTGCTTTGATGAAAATTTTTTGTGGGTCATTACCTGATCACACCAGTGAGCCTACTCACGACACGCTTCACGACCATGACTTTAGCCGTGAACCTCTCAGAAATTATTTTCTCGAATTATCACTTTGGGAATTCCTTCCATATTTTTCACGATTTGCATCACGCCCGTGAGGATGCCCGTGAGAAGGAAGGGATGGTCCTCCAAAGCGAGTTACATGCGTATTATGTGTACGAGGAAAATTTTGTGTGTAATTGTGCATAAATTCGAAACACGAGTAATTGATTGAGCTCACATGTAAATTCAAAACACTGTAGACACCATATTTTGTCCGGGTAATTGCTCTACCGAAGAAAAAAAACTCATTGTAACAGTACTCTACAAGTATATTTAAAAAAAGGATGCTTGGAGAGAATTGATTGAGACTTGGTAAGTCAAATATGAACCGATGATTACCAAGTATGCTCTTATTTGGCCCAAAGATCGGACTAGTTGTTTGCCGTAACAAATCACAAACATTAGTAACTACCTAGATTGTGCGCCTCCAATTGCGTATAATTGCAAGATTGGGTTGGAATGGATGAA